TTTGGCTAGCCATAGGTGAATTTCCTGCCGTCGTCGTTCGTTTCTGGCGTGTGCCCATTTGCATAGAATGATTCGGTTTTAAAGTTATCTTTGACATGAGGAGGACACTTAGGAGTGTCATCAATTGGCCCATAATTACCTCAGATTACTGGTCATGTTCATGGTTGGCATTAGTAACAGCATTTTTGGCTATTGGAAGATGGCTAATTAACTCAGAGAGAGTTGCACGCGACGGTATCGTCTTTCGCTTGTTCATCGACTTTCGTTTCAGCGCCCCGACGTCTCCCGCCCGTCAGGGAAGCACAACGTCATCGTTGATGCATGGCCTTACCAAGTCCATTTTGCAAGGCACGGGTCAAAAGAAGACACCAGCTGTCAAAGAACATGCAAAATGTCTGCTGGTAATTGACAAGCAAAATATCGACTGGTAAGAATAAAACAATTCTATATTCTGCAATATTTTAAACGTTAAATTATTAAATAATTAACAACCTTTAATTTCACTGCAATACTTCCAGACTAAGTTTTAGCTGCTTCCGGTAGCTTTTTTCTGATGGTGATGAAACTAAGAATAATGGAGCAAGTCATGTGCGTTTTATTTAAACTTGAGGTGATATTGCGGTAGGTCGCTGTTTCAAGGGGGATGTAGTCAGGAAATTGGACCAGTCAAAAGGAATGCTGCGATTTAAAAGTATAAAAGGACTTTGCCTTGTTTCGACGCGCAGATTAGAGGAGTTCATTCCACAATGTATTAAACAATATTTGCTGATCAATCGCAGTTTAAAAATCACATGGAAGCATGATATGCTTAAACGACCGCCTAAACGTCTAGCAGGAAGATTTGTTCAATTCAGTTCCATGATATGTCTGTAATGCTTAATCTAATGATGTTCGTTGGAAGCCCAGCAGAGACGCAAACATTTACGCCTATCCTACTGCTTCCTTGAAGGAAATGCTCATAGCTTACTGCGGGTGTGCCTGCAGCCGCTTTATCGAAACTCGGA